GTCATGCCAGCCACATGACCACGGAAATGTCTTCGGACAGCGCTGGCTCTTCAGCTTTGAAACGGAGATGAGCACCGCAACCCTAGAGTCGGATTCGACTGGCTTTCGAGCAAGGGAACCTTTACTTTATCTTTTACCCCGCCAAAGCAGGTTAGGGCGGCTTACATAGGATAAAATACATATTAACAATCAGAATTACCATAAAACATTTAAAAACAGTTCATTAAAACAATACGATATTAAAATGCTAGCTATGTTATTTTGATGTCACAACAATGGCATCACTGCATGAGTGCATTCTGTATGTTGTTTAAGTCTCCAGCTCTCTGATCTTCCTCAGATATAATTGGCGTGCACAGGCTGTCGGTAACCAACTAGGGACCAGGCTCTACAGGTTTCAAATGTTGTTAATAGTGTTGTTAATGGTGGTGGCGGCTTCTAGTTAAAAGCCTGGTGGAAGAGCTCCGTCTTGCAGGCCCTGCAGAACTGTAAGAGGTCCCGCAGGGCCCTGATCTCTTCCGGAAGCTCATTCCACCAGTGTGGATCTGCCACCAAGAAAGTTCTGGTCCTGGTTACAACCAACCTGGTGTCCTTAGAACCTGGGAGGACCAATCGGTTTTGTGACCCTGACTGTGGTACTCTCCAGGGTATATATGGGGAAAGGCAGTCCCTCAGGTAAGTCGGACCCTGGCCATAAAGTGCTTTAAAGGTAAGAACCAGCACCTTGAAGTGAATCCAGTATGCTATCGGCAGCCAGTGCAATGCCTTCAGGGCAGGCTGGATGTGCTCCCTCACAGGGAGACCCATCAAAAGCCTAGCTGCTGCATTTTGCACTAGCTGTCCCCAACCATGGAGAAAGGAGGCAAGCTATTGCAAGGCAAGCCCCTGAACTCCTGCGTCAGCGAGGTGGTGGATCAGTAACTGATGGTTGACGGTGTCGAACGCAGCTGACAGGTCCAACAACAACAGCACCGCCGAACCGCCCCGATCCAGATGCCTCCGGAGATCGTCCGTGAGGGCGACCAGTAGTCTCTGTCCCGTAGTCCAGGCGAAAACCAGACTGGAAGGGATCTAAAATTTTTAAAATGTCCTTTTACATACAATTTTTATCATTACACAAAGGCAATGTTTGCAATTCCCCCCCATAACATGGTTGTTTATACCCTGCTTTTCATCCAAGATTGGTTCCCTAAGCAGTTTACAGCAGTTAAAATCCATGAAAAGATATGCATAGACTAGCTAGTTTGTACTGTCACTATGCATTAATTTTCTAAATGGAAATGTCTCCTTGTAATAAGACTTCAAATATGTAAATCTGTGATGAATGCTTTGAAGCTTAGATTTGTAAGTTTAAAGTAGTATTTGGATGGGAACCACTACCACCAAATCCTTAATTGTAACCATATTCACTGTTACCTGCTGTCTCCATTCTGTATGCCAGAATTTTCAAGCTGCATAGTAAGATCCTCCACGCTGTGCATCAAACCTGGGCAATTATTCAAACACACTTGCCATTTTCTTTTCTTTTTTTAATAATATTTTTATTGAATTTTTAGAAATGATAGACACACACCACATAAACACAAAAACAAAAACAAACATCAACATACACTTTCAATATTTTCTGTAGTGCAAGGAAGCCCCGCGAAGGCCCTCCCTGGCCCCAGGCAGGCAGGGGTGGGGAGAGGCAGGGAGGAAGCAACTTACCCTCCCTCTTCTCCTGCCTCCTCCTGGCTGAATGAGGGCCGGAAGCGGGGCGGCCGGAAGCTTTTCCCAAATAAACTTACCTCAACCAAAAATGAACGTTTCCAATCCCTTCTACCTCCTATTAATCAATATTATCCTTTTGTATGCATTTACTACAACTTACATACAGCTTAACATCAAACATAACTAAACGCCCATTTCTCCCATCACCATAACATTTAACTATATATTATAATCAAATTATTTCCCTCTATGAACTATGTTTTCACATCCTTCAGGACCATAATTTCAAATTATTTTCTATCTATACATCAAAATATCTATCTTTTCTATCCAAACCTTTTCAGTTATTACTCAACCCTTTTTATTCCCTTTTAATCATTATTTATTCCAGCAATTTATAAAATATATGCCTCTGAAATTTTCACTTATATAAAGTCAAATTAAGGGGTAAAGACATCATAGTGAACAAATAACCTAACAATTACTTCATGCATCTATATTACAATAAAACACAAAACCATAATTTCATTTTTCCAAATAGGCATAAATCAACAAAAATAACATTTGAGTCTTCATCAAAGTTAATTCCCCCCCTTCTCTATAAATCCTAGGTTTCCTTCTTTATTAAGCAATATCTAACTTTTCATAATTTTCAATGCCCTAATGCCATATCTTCAGTGTCACATTATAACAGAAACCCTGAGGTCATAATACCAATTAAGCATAAATCAGCAAAAATAATCTTTCATCCTTCAAATAATTTCATTTTCCCCCTGAAGATTTGTAGCTTGCAATTTTGTATCAATGAGTCCCAATGTCTTCTTTCTTTATATGTGTGTGAGTTAACTTCTAGACTCCCCCCTCTGTGTTTCAGCCATGTTATATCCAGTATTTTATTTTCCATCTTAAACTTCCAGGCTCGTTTTTTTAGCCTCTTCCCCCACCCCCCATTTCTCCCTTCTTTACAAGAGGTTCTCTGCATATTCAGTTTTGTTAGGTCTGTCTTTATATAGGACGATCTCATTGTCTCCTTTTCCAATCCTATAATGGAGAGGGGCTAAGTATCATCACACGACTCCCTAGAATAGCAAACTTGTTCCTCACCAACATTCTGTTTGGGCTGTACCAATTCTTCCTTAATTTCAACATCCAGTTGTATACTCTGCCATTTTTCAGTTATATTTGCACAAGCCTCTTCAAACCCTTTTTGTATTCCTTTCTGTATTCCATCTC